AAGTAGTCCGACTGGTAATCATTTATATATATTTCAAAAAAAAAAAAGGAGTATAACTTTACTATTGTATTAATATCTTGTTTATCAATCGCTCTAAATTGTTGGGTTATTATTTCTTCTCTTAAAAGTTGAATTCTCAATCGCAAAGGCCCCCACACTCCAGTCCAACAAAGCATTTAGAATGATGTAAATATAACGGTGACTCGTGACATAGTAGAAAGAACCAAATATCAGTAAGGGATTTGCCTACTTTGGGCATAATCCCCACATTGCTGCTGCTAAAGTTGTTGGGTTATTATTCACACTGCCGCTGCTAAGGTTGTTGGGTTATTATTTGTATCAAGTATGTAAAAACTTGTTCGTGAGACAGGTTGGGTATTTGATTAATGAAGTTAAAAATTCAATCCATTAATCAAAGACTTGATCCACTGGAAGGCTTAACGACTCTTCTTGCACGGGATAGAGGGGGCACAGTCACTCGTAGAATTGGTTAATTTTGAGGTTCGCCTCTCTTTCCTTACCAAAAAAAAAAAAAAAAAAAAGACTTGACTCATATCTGACTCGTCTCAAGGATTGAGATCTACGATCTCACACAAGTGTTATCCAAATTTATATTATTGTAATTTTATTGATAAAAATAGTTTAATTTAATTTAGGCAGATTAAATAAATAGAAAACAAGACAGAGAAAGGAATTTGGGTGGAATTATTAATTTTTTTTAATAAAAAAAAAAAAAAAAAAAAAAAAAAAAGAGAGAGAAAAGATTACGAAAATTCCGGAAAAAGAAGAAATAAGAAAAATAAAAGTGGAAAAGGCAAAGTTGGCCTATAGAGAAGGGAAGAAAAGAAGGTACAAAGAAAGCTCCAGCTCCCATAGCCAAACAAGAATAGGAGAAACCTTTCTCGGGGAAAGAAAATGATTCTGCAAATTTTCCCGAGAAAATAACAACAACCCAGAACAAGAACAAGAAGAATCAGAAGGCCCAGAGATAGAACAGAGCTTTTGTGCAGATAATTTTTAATTTTTTTTAATTTTTTTTTTGTGTGCTTGTGGGAGAAAGAAAGAAAAAGATGATATCATCCTTTGCGTCACCGTCGTCTTCGTCTTCGTCTTCGGCGTCGTCTTCAGTTGTGGTTCGAGTGGAGAAGGCCACAAGCGAGTTCCTGATCGGCCCGGATTGGACTCTCAATATTGAAATTTGCGATACCATCAATTCCAACCATTGGTATTTTCTGTTTCCTCTTTTCTTTTCATGTCCCCAAGCTCTAAAATTTCCCCCCTTTTCTTCTTCTGGAAAAAAAAGTTGACTTTTTTGTTTCCCTTTCTTTTTCCCTTGGGGCTCTAGTAAGGGTAATTAACTGGAAATTGTTTGTGCATGTGTGCATATATAATCACTAAATCTTGAATTTCATAGCTGATTTTGCATGGACTTTTGTTTTCTGAAGTTGATGGAGAAAAAAGGGTATCTATTTATTTATATAATTATGATTGCCATAGTTTCTATTAGTTTGGAGTTTCTGTTGCCCTTGTTGACCAAAATATGTTTTCTATTTATCCTTGTTTTATGTTTCTCTTAGCAAATTTCTTTGACAAAATCTGTTGCTCCAATTTTCAGGTTGGGCAAAGATGTGGTAAAAACCTTGAAGAAAAGGTTGCAGCACAAGAATCCTAAAGTGCAGTTACTTTCTTTGACGGTAAAAATATTTCTTGTCAAACAAATATTTGGGTATTATTGTGCTGTGTACCATTGAAATCTATTGATGAACTTCAAGTATAAAGCAGTTGCTTCCACTGTTCATACCTTGTTAACTGTTCTCTATGGCTTCTCTTTAGCTGCTGGAGACAATGGTGAAGAACTGCGGGGATAATGTGCACTTTCAAATTGCAGAGAGAAATATCCTGCAAGATATGGTGAAAATTGTGAAGAAGAAGGCAAGTTTCAACTTTTGATATTCTGTGGGATCATAGTTTGAGTATACATGTGACTCTTTTTCCATAATTTATGTTTCGCTTTTATATTCTTAGCTTTGAGGTCTGGTTTAAGAATATCTTGTGTGTTTTTTTATGTTAGAATCAAACAGCAAATTTTGGGTTTTTGTGCTTTTTTTATGGGTTGTACTCTGTTGCTTTAGTTCTGCATTTTACCATTTGCTTTGAGATCATTCTTAAAAATTTGATGGATTTGCAGACTGATATGAATGTGAGGGATAAAATCCTAGTACTGCTCGACTCTTGGCAAGAGGCATTTGGTGGTCCTGGAGGAAAATATTCGCAGTATTATTGGGCTTACGAAGAACTGAGGGTGAGTTTTCGATTCTTGATTTCTCGGGTTAGAAATTTGTGATTTTAGGTGATTGACTATTCAAAACAAGACATTATGTGTGTATGTGAAAGAGATCATTCAGAAACATTTGGGAGACAGGGTCCAGTGAATTATTAAAACGATTTGTTTTCTTTTATGAATGATAAAGCCATTCAATAATCAAGATTGCAAAGCTTTACAGGTAATAATGTGTTTAAATCTGTGGCTAAGGACTGTTTGAAACTTGTTGCAGCGTTCTGGTGTGCAATTTCCCCAGCGTTCTCGTGATACACCTCCGATTTTTACTCCACCTGCAACACACGCGGGACCTAGGCTGCCTCAACCGGGTTATGGAATGCCAAGCAACTCCTCAACTAGACTCGATGAAGCCATGGCAGCTGACGTGGAAAATTTAAGGTAAAAACTAATTTGAATTCTATGTGCATATTGTGATCCAATATTGTCGTGTATTTACTCTAATTTTCTCATGAATACAGTTTATCAACTATAAGTTCAATGCGGGATGTTCTGGATCTTTTAGCTGACATGCTGCAAGCCGTGAATCCTGGGGATTCTGCAGTAAGTGCACTGACCTTTTCTCTCTAATCTGATGTTTAATTCCACTTAAAGGTCCTTAGTTTCTTTTCCGTTTTTATTTTCTAGGCTGTAAAAGATGAAGTTATAGTTGATCTTGTTGACCGTTGTCGGTCCAATCAAAAGAAACTAATGCAGATGTTAGCCACAACTGGGTAAATTCTCTTTCCCGTGTTTATTTTTATCAAAAAAATGCCATTTTGCAGTTGGGTTCTGGTTTAGTAACTAGGATCTATAGTGTATCTAAATTTATTTCTATTGTTTCAGGGATGAAAATCTTCTAGCACAGGGTCTTGAATTAAACGATAGTCTACAAAGCTTGCTTGCAAAACATGATGCTATAGCTTCTGGCACCGTATTGCCAAATCCCGTCTCTCCTGTCAATCAGCCATCAGTCGAGATGCACAAGCCTGACCTAAAAATAGCTGAAGGATCTAGTACACCACCACCAGATACTAAACCCGCTGCTGCTCCTGTTGTTGCAATACCAAATTGTTTAGATGAAGAGGAAGATGAAGAAGACGACTTTGCTCAGTTGGCTCGAAGGTAATTCTTGATCTGCACAGTATGGAGATTCTGCTGAGCTGTATTTTATCTTTTATTTTCTTTTCGTTCTAAGATGGTAGCATGCAAATGCAGGCATTCAAAAACTCCTCGAACAAATGAAGGTGTTAGTAGTACCAGCACTGTAATATCCCAAGGAGCATCTTCGGATCCAGCCATGAGTAGTGCGTTGATTCTTCGTGACCCGCCTGCACCTGCCAAGACCACAAACGAGCAAGATATAATCGAGCTCTTGAGCATAACCTTGTCGTCGACTGTGTCTCCACAGGCACCTGCACAAAACGTAAATCAGGGGTCAGTTTCTCCTACCAATCAAGAGAACATGCGTACCTCCTCCGAGTCTTTCCCTGGATATCAGGGCCAGACATTCAACAGTTATGTAGCGCCCTGGGCTCGGTCCCAGCCCCAGCCCCAGCCTCAGCCTCAACCCCAAATGCAAACTCATTCTCAACCCCAATTCCAACAGCCGCAGATGCCTCAATCTGTTAGTGAACCAAGACAACCTCGACCTAATGGTCATCTTCAATACCAAGGACAACCTCAACATAATGGTCAATTCCAATATCAGTTACGCCCGCAACCTCAACCTCAACCTCATTTCCCTCAGTACTCTGCTTACCCTCCTCCGCCTTGGGCTGCAACTCCTGGTTATTTCAGCAACCCAAACCCGTCATCTAGAACACCTTACATGCACTCAACTCTACCAGCCACTACAAGCATGCCCACACCTGTAAAACAACTCAACTCATTCCCAGTCGGAGGAAGCAATACTACAGCAATTAATGGAGCTGCAAGGATTGGTGTCAACAATGCAACAAATCCCCCAGCCGCTGCTTCACAAAAAACGTTTATACCATCTTATAGGCTGTTTGAAGATCTTAATGTTTTTGGTAATGAGGACCAAAGATTCAAGGCAACAAGCAACTCATCTGCTGGCATGTCTGGGGAAAACAACCAAAGTTGGCTTTCAGGGCACAAGTGATATACATACATTCATATATCACATACTAGCCATAAATTTATGTAAATGGGGGTGGAATCTCTTTTTTTTTTTTCTTTTGGTTTGTATGCAGGGGGAATAACATAAGATTGATTGAGTTGTGGCCATTCCATATTTAGTGCTTATTTTGTGCCAGGGGTTTATAGGCTTTTTATGGCTACCGTTAATGGTACTAGATATCTCGGGGCTTAGGGATTTGGCTTCCTATTGCATATGTTTCTCAGGTCATGTTTGTAAACCAATTTCGTTGACATTGTTAATCACAAATAATTTTCGATCAAATGCTTTGAATACAGATAGATTACACAGGACAGTTGTTTATGACTAACGCAAAATAGCAGACATCATCTAGTCCGCAAATTGCACCTGAAATTAACGCAAATGAGATTTTTTTAACTGAAGCTGCTTTGCAAAATAAAATTAAATTATGTTAATAAGTGCAGGTGATCTATACAGATTGAAGGGGCTGACCAAAAAAAAAAAAAAGGAAAAGAAAAGAAAAAAAAAAAAAAAAGCACACTACGCCGAAAGGAATTAATAAGAACAAACAAAAAAAAAAAAAGAGGGGGAAAAATAGACAAAAACATATTTACATCTTTCTTTACCTATGTATCAAATTATTAGATAAGCCTCCAATCAGTGTGAGATTCATCCAACTTCACGTTATACTCTGTCCTGGAGGCCCAATGAATATGATAACATACAATGGCCGACCTGATCTTCAGAGATTCAATGCTGAGTGGCAGATTCATCAACAACCCAATTTAATTTTGCTGCTACTCCCATCCATCCCCCACAATGGTGTTTCAATTTAATTTCCAGACTCAAAGCTTTCATCTTGGTGGAGATATCTCATCAGCATAAAGAGACACACAGGAATCTGCAGCACCAGCTGCAAGCAGCACTTGATATGGATGGAATGTGAGACACCTAACGGATCCAATCTTCTGTGCCATGAATGTTGATAAATATCGTATGGTGCCTAATTGCTCGCCCTCCAGGTTAAACACCTTGATAAGTTGCTTTGCTGACCCACTAGCTATAAGCGGTGCATGCCGATGAACAGCTAGAGCTGTAAGTGATCCCCTATGCGCATCGATTGTGAGGTATGCATCCCGCAGATTTCTCACATCAAGGAATTGAATATCACCCGCCTGAGATGCACTGACAATCTGAAATGAAACAGTAGATATGTTTATAAAATTTGCCATAAGACAACAACAGACACAACAGGCTCAGTGGAAAGCCATTTATAGCAAAATACCAATGAAACTTTTTCACCTTAGCTGGACTGAGTCCAGGTTGAAATCCAATCCCCACAACTTTTTCTACTCTTTGGGTGTGTGGTCTTGTTGAACCAACAATCCTACATAAAAGCAGATCCAGTTACAAACAAGTCAACTGTGCAATTATTCTTACATACACAAACAATTGTATGTATATGTTTACACTTTACATTGCATATTATATATCTATATAGAGCAGATAGCAGCTCTAGATAAGTAGATTAGAACAATGAAATTCATACAACAGTAGTCCATATACAAGCTCTTAAGATAGGAGGCAAAATATAGGTATTTACTAGAAAGGAGCACTTTCCAGCCAAGACATTGAAATAGTCAAAAGTAGATTTCACATCTTAATCTTAATATCTTAATATGGAATTATATATAAGTTGGATGAACTTATATAGGAGCAAAAAAAAAATAAAATTGGCCTTACATTTCAGGCATTCGAACATCAAAAAGCTTAACAGATCCATCCACAAAACCAGCTGCGAATTGACTTCCATGAACCTGAGAAGCAGACTACACAAGGCACAAAAAACATATAAATTAAAAGATTAATTATACATTAAAAAAAAAAAAGATTAATTATACAACTAACGATATAAATGTTTAAAATTAATTCAGGGGGACCTATGAAATACCTACCAATGCTGAAATGCTGCAGTCTGAAGATGATGGAATAGTATTTACAAGCTGCTCTTTGTCCAGGTCCCAGGCCATGATTGAAGAATTTTCACCCGATGCAAACTGATGGAAGAAATAATAGATTACATAGAAATAGAAATGACAGGTGTACTTAAGTGAGATCAGAATGTATATGCATACACGGATGCATTGATCTACTAGTGACATTCCAGTAAATGTTATAAAATAAGCAAAAAAAAAAATGCATATATATTTACTAGGCTTTATATACACAAACAACATAAACTTCTATATTTTCTATTATTCGAGAGCCAGGATGTACCAGGCAACCAGATTGCTGCTGCCAATCCACCACAGCATTCACACTTCGCATACCCACTCTGTGACCATGGATTGAAGAGAATGCAGTAACCAACTTTTGCTGACCTCTTGAAGCATAATCCTTCCAAATGCGGATGTTGCCATCACCTGCAAGAGGCAGCACCATTAATCATTACTGCATCAACAAAGAGTCTTGAATGTAAAATGAAGCAATAAAAGTTAATACTTGAAGCAACAAGAAGCAAACTATCATCAAGCTCATTCACAAGGCACAGCTTTGAGATTCCTTTATCAGGGTAACTGTGATTATCAAAGCTGTTAAGCAGGGTTGCCTCCTCATAATTCCATACCCTGACAAACCATACAAAAAATTATATTTATAGAGCTAGAGCTTGTAAATATATGAAAAAATTCACAGGAAAAAAAATAATAATAATAATAAAAAATAAAAAATAAAAACCCTTATCCATAACTACTCATAACTTGCATCATTTCACAAATCAAATTAACTTGGCATAACCAAAACAGGGTTCAAGACAATACACATTCTAGGCAATGGAACCTATTGCTAACAGTAAAACACGGTTAAAGACTTGAGGCCATTGGACTGATTTAGTTCAAGTCCCATAAAATTGTAAACTGCTACTGCCAATCCAATTCATACGATATTAACTAATTAATAATCATAGAGGTTCCTACATAGTAGAAAACGTTATGTTTCAGAAGTCCAATTGTAATAGTAACAGTTACAGCCTCAAGAAAAGAGAGGTCAATGAGGTTCCTACCTGATCCTTTCACTGTCGTCTGAAGCAATCACAAAAGGTGAGAATGGCTGCAACAAGGCAGTTTTGGTACCATTTTCAAATTTTGTATCCCAACTTGCAATTTGATTATGTAGCTTGCTCACAGCTGACAAAGGAAGATAAGCTTTAGAAACACTAATGTGCACTAGGAGTCTAGGATAACATGCTTTTACAGCGAACAGAAGAAGGAAATGGGAGATGGGAAAACACAACTATTAAGAAGACCTACTAGAATGTTGGCATTTTGCAATCAAGTCGAGGGCCACCTTTTCCCTCTCTTCTCTTCTACTGATTATCTCTTCACTATCATCAGCTGCAGTAAGAAGTGGCTTGGAGAAGTGACCACAACTCCAATTGTATATGGTAGATTGTGGAAGAAAACTACGCTCAGAAGTTCCGGAAGATCCAGCTGCGCCCAAAAGCGGGTCAGCCAACCCAGAGTCTGGAGAATTCATTAAGTGTGGTCGGAACTCAAGCGAACAAACTCTCCTGAGGCCTGTCATATAACTGGCCCGAGGGGGACTAACAGGAGGAGTTCTGAATGTCAAAGACAGATGTCCTGCTGCAGCAATTGAAAAAATCTCAAAAAGAATGTAGTGGCAGGCAAAGTGTCAAAACATTGACCAAAAGAAGGCGCATTAATCTGAAACTATTAGAAATGGCTAAATTAGCAATAATGACCAAGTTTGATACCTCCATTCATGTCAAACCAAGAGGACGATCGAGCCAATCCAGCTACACTAGTGCTTGGACCTGCTGCAAATTCACTAGACTTAACAGATTTGGCAACCACTTGTTCAATACCAATAATGGACAGAACACGACGACCAAGGCCCGAAATGCGTGGTGATGGATCCTTCGCCAGGGTACACATTGCTAATACACACTGTGAATACAATGCATTATCTAATGGCCTAGTATGGTTCAAAACTCCATTGCTAATGGGATCATTTAATAAACCAGAATCAGAATGTTGTGATGAATCATCAGACAAGGGTGATCCATGCATAATACTTGGTGCAGCAAGGGGGCTGCTAGTGGACACTCTTCCATCCCGAGCTGTAGACTGGTTTTCACCTCCAATTCTCAATAAAGGAGCAATTGGAGACGGAATGATACTTCCATGAGGGACATAATGGGTTGGAGTAGTATAGCCACTGCCTGAACTCTTGACAGCAAAAGAAGGCAAGGAAGTAAGCACAGAGCTATTTTGAGGCTTCAAATAAGTGGCTGCAACAGACTTCAGGTGCTTATTATGCCCAAATGCAAAGCGTGCCAGAGCTGCAATGATGAGATAAAACAATAACAAAAGTTAATTGCATGTATGTGGGGACCAGATCCAGTGTACATGGACTCTTCCAAGCAAATGTCAGCCTAAACTTTGCAATTCCCTAGAGAATTTCTACTTTAGGCAACAGTAAAAGTGAACCTTTCAAGGATCAAAACACATTAAACATTTAACACTTTGTTTTTTTATGCCAAAAATCTAACAAAACACAATCAAAGAATACTAACTAAACACTAGAAATCTTTAAACACAAAGCTACAGGGCCTTTGAACAAAGTAAACAATTCTACCATATGAAAACAGGGTCAAAAGTCAATATACTGCATACCTACTGCAACCTCAGCCCTAACCAATGGGCTTCCATCAGGCACAGCACTCAAAAGGCTCTTAACAATATTAACTTCAGCCCTGACCTTTTCATCATCATCACAATCTTCATCGCCACCAACTCCATCCTTAGAGGTGTCAAACCCAATGTCTAGCAAAGTGCCTAGTGCAAACACAGCAGCAGCTCGGACCTGATACCAAAAGACTTGTTGATTAGACTCCTAACACGGAAGCAAAAAATCAAAGTGGGAAATAATATGATTTGGTACAAACCTCGGGTTGGGGTGCAGCAAGTAGAGGTGCAAATATCGCAGGTGCATCAGACTGTAGACCTATCATTTGTGCCTCAGTGAAATCCTCCCAGAGTTTGCCTAGACATAGACACAACCACTGAAGGAATAGAGGTTCTGTTTGTGCATCATTCGGAGCTGACCCCTGAAGATGTTTTAAGCAGACATGTATAAGACCAGCTTCAATACAGGCTTCCTGACCCCGTCTGTGACCATCCACAATGACTGCCAAAACGAATGCAGCCATTGCACGCTGCTCTGGATAGGCTTCAATACTATCAAGAAATCTAGTAAAATATGTATGCCCACCATCCTTCACAAGATCAACCTGACAAGACTGATAACACAAATATAATGATATTTCAGTATGTAAATAATATTCTCATTTTTCTCTTTTACCCCACTCATCATGGAAAACAAAAAAGAAATGTTGGACATAAAGCACCATTAAAAAATATGGGTATAAGAGTGATATAGTTAAGTATGTGGAAAATAAGAACAAATTTGACAGTGACTATAGACAACAGAGGAAATTTCAATGTCTACCTTATCAAGTGCAAGGATCTTTGTCCATATGAAGACAAGAATTTGCCTAAGTTCTGGAGTGGTGGTTTGCAAGAGCTTTAAAACATATGGAAATATACCCACAGATAATGCCTAGAAGAGCAGACAGTTAGTCAAAGTATTGAAATAAGAAGCTAGAGAAAACTAAAACCATAAACCATAATGATGTACCAGATCAACAGCCCAAGGGCCCATGTCCAAAAATCTTCCAAGAAGTACCAGAGCACGAAACCGATGGCACTGACTAAGTAACACCTATAAATGAAAAAGTAGAACCAGATACATACATTGCAAATCAATCAATACATTACCAAGCTAAAGGTAACACAGAACCCATATTAAGAAATAGAATAATCAAAAATGACATTAAGGATCATGTTTTGACATTCAATCTTTAGAAGGAAAAAGGAAAACGATAATAGCCAAACTCAATAAGGAATAAATACTGTTATATTTGAACAAAAAGCCAAGAGATACATGCTTAACTACTACACCGTATTACAGTGACACTCCAGTCACCAGCATTACGTTATTCAGTACTAGAGCTTTCTCTATTCTGGCTATTTGCCCCTTAATACTCAGAAATTTATCACAATTGCACATATAGCACACAGCCACAAATTGAGTTTTTAAGAATGACTATACAACATAGAATTATAAAGAAAGCTAACAGTTGCAATATTCAATTCAGTGATGGAACAGCGGTGAAGCATGTACCATTTTAAACTTCAATCAAATTCAAATCATTCAGTTTCTTCTTTTTCTGATATATTTAAGGAAAATTTGCATCTTGGTTAGTTACTGCCATCTAGTCAAATCAATCTCTGGTTCACAGACCAACATAAATGTCATCCTCCATCATTCCCAATCATTGTGATGTATCTCTACCGACAAATGGATATATGGGTTAACCACAAGTTTGCAAAACTTAATCTGATGGGGGCATTTGCGTCATTAAATATCACATTTCAGCCATCCTTTGTGTAAATGCATATATTCTTCATCTTCTTCTCAAGAAAAGAAGAAAACATAAACTTGGGCTTGCAGCCAAGTTTATGGTTATGAGCTGCCAGGTGCTGTGACTTGTGGCTGTTCACATCTGGTGTTCAGTGAGGGAAAATCAAGAAGTACAGGTCTGTCATTGATAGAGGCAGTTTTGGGCCAGCAGGTCTGTTTACTTGGACAATAGCCTTAACAGTAACCACTAATAAAGTTCCTAGTGAAGACTTTGAGCATTATCCGTCCCTCCGTTCATGGTTGTCCAGCAGCCCTTCAACCAATGTTTTGCTGTAGGGCCATGGTGTTACAAGTTGCAATAGAGGGTGAAAGCTGCATGGCTGATACATTGCGACGAGTTTTCCAGTCATGGCATAGTTTAACAATGATGAATTGGGAAAGATAGCTCATGAAGGGATAGTTGATAAATGAGGATCACTTTTACCAAACTACCCCTCTAAATTTAGATTTTGATATGCAATAGATTCAAAGGGTGTCATTTGAGGACTCAAACTGCAATGATTGGGAACAAGGGTGGATCATATTTGCATTTACCTGTCAACCATAGATTGATTTGACTAGTGGCCAATAACTTGGGGATCAAAAAAGCAATTTTCCCAAAATAAGATCATAACAGCATAAAAAACTAACTGCCCCAAGAAATAGAAACTACACATACAAGCCCCCTGAAAAACAATTAAGTGTGATTAAAATGACCACACACATAAGCAAAATATGCACTAGTTATAAAATAATGAAAATATTAAACTTGTCATCAAAATAACATTAAAGAAACTGGAGTGGACAGGAGAGGCAGAAGCATCAAATTTAAATACCAAAAAATTTACCAAAATTCATAATTACTCAAGACAACCAAATTATGGGCCTCATTGATTATTACCAAGAAAAACTCTACCTGAAGCACAATAGGCAACTGTTCTGGAGGTTTCTTGTGCTCTGATCCATGATCAAGCCATACCTCAAAAGCTGTCAACTGCTCAGTGAAAAAGGAACTAGGCTGAAAATTGAAAAAGGTATAAAGTCAATGTTGGGAGAGAAGTGTTGCTAGTCATTACTTCCAAAACATTTAAAACTTAATGAATTGAATAAATTTAATAAATGTGGAAAAAATTGGATGCAAGTTTACAACAGAAGAACAAACTGATAATTCTCACTTGAAACTCAGCATTTGGATCCTCAACTAAAGTTGGAAGCTGAGAGAGGCATATTTCAGCAGCCATGTCCCATGCATCCCTATAGAGCATGTGTTTAACACAAATGACTGAATGAGCAGGATGCAAAGTTGAAGAAGAACATACGATATAAAAAACTACATGTAGTTACCACATATGATGCTGATGAGTAGGTGGCAACATCGGGTACGAAACTGGTGAACAATTTGCTGAGCGCATAATTCTTTCAGCAAGTAAGAAATTTCGAAACAAACTGGCAACTAGTAGATCTTGCCTGAACAATCTTTGAAACAGATCTACACATTCAACAATCATTTAAGGTTAAGACAAAGATCAACATGCAATAAAACTAGATGAAGGCCATGCTGACCCTGTTATTAATCTTTCCCTTTACCATGCGGAAGAACATTCCAAGCAATTGTGTCTGTAACTGCTGTAAATATCCAGTTCAATTCCCCAAGAAGTGTTTTCCGATCAGTTTGCCGGCCAGGAATTCTATCTATGAGAGAATAATCAAGTGACTCCCGCAACAAAGATCGAGTGCAGAACCTAATAACCAAACAATGACAATTGTGAGACTACAAGATACTCCATAACAAAGAATGAAAATAAAATATTAAATTAAATAAATAAACAGAAGCATTCCCAAACAAGTTACATTTGATTTTTTAAATAAGCAGTTCAATTTAATAAATGGAGAGACAAATATAGAATTCAAGCGAGAAATTGAGAAAACAGGACAGAAATGAACTGGAGGAAACAAGAAAAAATAAAAAACAACTAAGCTCATCATCCAGAAGAATCTTCAATAACAACCAGCGCAGTAGTATCATAAATTTAAGACAACACATACTCAAAGGCCTTATGCCTTTTTGCCAATTCAAGTATTCAACACTGCTTCTAGGTTTAAAGGAAATATTATTTGTTTAATATCATTAAGGGAGGAACAATCTGTTCATTCTGTGTTTGTTGAGATCAAAGTCCAATATTTGCAATCCAAGTGTTGGACTTGTTTATCCAAATCCAACTCCTAATAGAGAACTCAAGGTTACATTAATCAGTTTACTCCTTTATTTTGAAGCTGTGAGACCACTCGCTGAATCAGCCAAAGGTTCAACACAGACCAGTTTCAATTGAAAATAAAAATTTAAAAAAAAAAAAAAAAATCAAACAAACAAATTTTAGTCATTTATGCATCTGCCAATAGATTCAGTTATTGACAAAATTGTTGATTAACAGAAACTACTTGGATGCCAGCTCTTTTGTTAGTCCTAATAGATATGCATCCAGGCAGCCATACACAAGGAAGGGGTGTGGAACCAACCATACTATATATGGCTCTGCATGTGACACAAGAAGTAGGTGTAAAAGGGACCACTTCAACGATGAGGGAAAAAGCTTCAATAGGTTCCTTCTATATGATAGCAGCCCAAACAGAAGGGCAGTGAAAAGTGAAAACTTTATGCGGCATGAAAATCAAAGGTAACAATTCTGTAATTGAGATAGGTATTAAGAATCAAAATCAAAACAGCACCTATTGTCAGGCCTCTCTGAATACAGATATGTGATACACAAAGGATAATAAAAGACAAGTAGAAGAAGAAGAAGAAGAAGAAGAAAAAGACAAATGTAGTTGAGAATTAGTCACCATCTCAATGCCATTTTAATGGGCGTAGTGAGGCAGGAAGTAAAAACATCAGCAGGAAATTCAGCACTTTGAGGAAGGGTTTCATGTGCTTCACATGCAGCAAGCAAAATGCAATCCCTCGTAGAAGGCCCAGAAGAATTAGAAGCATTCCAGTCCTGAAGCTGTTTTATAAACATAGAAATGCTGGTTGTCAATTCAAGATCAGGAAACCACTAGTTTGCACTTCATGAACAAAAATTAGTCACTTGCCTCTATGAACGCATTAACAATCATTCCAGCAGCAGAGCAGTCAAAGACATATATGGATGGGGTCCTCAACCAAGAATCCAAGTCATTGATCGGCAAAGGGATATACTGTGTATAACTCTAAACAATCCATACCAATAAGAATTAAAAGAACATTTAACAGAGCCTGGAAAGTTCATGCAAAGAAACAAACCTTATTGAATAGCCATATTTCACCATTTGGCGTTGGCTTTGGTACACCATGTCCATTATAGTGAAAAAGCACTCTTTCTGACTTAGCATATTTACGACATGTTGTGCACAGTTTTTTTACTTCATCAACAGTGGGGTCTAAGGAAATCTTATAGCGGGCCTGCAAATAGACATTTTTTATTAATTCACAAGTTACATAACAACCATAAAACAGAACTAAGACATCTCAAGCAGTACTTATGATGCAAATTGCATAATTCTTACCCTAGGTTGCCATCTCTCGTATTGCTGGTTCAAAGTCCTCCCAATTGTTTCAAGTGCTTTTTGTGGGGCCATTGAAAATGGATCTGCCAAAAGTCAGAAAAATAGACCACATTTGGCAGAAAATTAGTCATGCCAGCTTTGAAGAACAAACGTAATAGATAATAAGCATCAAAATTTCACTCTTCCTCTTTAACAATATAACCCTTTTTTCATGATATAGAACTATAGAAGACATCTCAAATTGTTCCCACTAAAACAAAACAACATTGATAGAAAAATCCAATTTCTGACTTTGAATTTGAGGGGTCATGAGTTGCAATTCTTCTAGTAAAAGGAAAATTTTAAAAATAAACAAATAAAAAATAATAATAAAAAAAAAAACAAAAACAAAAAACATTTTGCAAAGGAAAGGAAAAAATGAAGAGACATGACTGTCTCAGATAGTTAACAACATTATTATTATTATTATTACTAATATTCTTTCTTATCAAAAAAATAAAAAAGTTCATTCCCAGAAAGTTCAGGATCAAGAATTAGCTACGTACAAAAATTGGAAAATCATAGATATTGGTCAAAGCTGGGAACTGTCAGCAAGCAGACAGAACCAAGTAAAATGAGCAATAGAAACTAGAGAGATCATTTTACCAATCCAGCACTCCATCCGGGCACAAGGAGATATCTTGATTACATCAGGAGGATCAACGCTAATGTTTAAGCATAAAACAAGAGCAACACATCCCGTTTTCATCTACAATAAAAACTGAGTTAAGACAAGACGACATAGAAAAAATTGACATCTTTTTGCATCTAAAATGGACCGGAAGAAGAAGAAGAATACAGAGAGTAAAAGCTATCATACAAAATACAAGCTAAAAATATCATATTAGAAATTAAAGAATTGCTTTACGAGCAAGCTAACAATGTTGTCCACCTATCAATACAATGCAGTATACACTATGTGCATTCACAAGCAAAGACTATCTTTGAGTCTTTGACCCAATAGAATATCTTTATTTTAATTGATATACTCATCATCTTTAAACTTTCCTCTTCCAGAATCAAGCATCAAGCCAAAAAAACAAACAAGCAAACAAAACAAAAACAAAAACAAAAACAAAAATCATTTAGGTTAGATAGAAGTCTAGAAAATATCCACCCAACCAGATGCAATAATTATATCTAGTTCGTTCCAAAACTTATACTTCAATACTTACCATCACAGGTTGCAAGCTAAAGATCTTCCATTTTCAACTAATATTCATAGAAACAGGGTGAGAAAGCATGAAACTTAGTACCAAATATGTTATTCGAAGTGTTAGGCATGAAAAATCATAGAGCAAACAATTGGGCACAAATTACAAGACAAAGACCATTTCTAGTACATAAATCCACATTCTGTCTGTTAAATAGTTAGAATACTCCTAAATTAAGTTTAGGAATCATTCAAGTATTGGGTTCCTTGTAGTTTAGGAATCCTAGGGATGGTAAGATTCCTAATTCCTCATCACCTGTCCAACAGTTTAGTATACATTAAAACATACTGAAAGACATAAAGTATATTATCTGTCTTTTAATCTTAATTTATTATCTTATTATATTATCACATACACCTTATTGGAGAGTGGTGGCTCTTTGCCACCCAATCAAGCACCATGCTCACGATATCTAATACTAACTATAGCAGATGCTGTAGGTAGGCCAGAAAGTGTGTCAGGGGAAAGGGGGGAGGTGGTGTTTGGTAAAAGATTGGCCACAAATTAAATTTTGGTTATGAGAATTCAAATCAAGTCAAATTTATTAAGCATAATAATATAATATTAATTTAATCTAAAATTATAAGCCTAAGTGTCAAATGAAAGGAAGAATAACTACCAAGGATTATTTTCAACCAATCTAAAACTTTTTTTTATAATTCAGACATACTTAATGGTAGCCAGTGAGTGTCTTGCTATTTAAAGTATTTTCCATAACTTGAACTATCACTTCATTGAGATATTCTAGTGTTACTTATAGAGTGCAGATGGAACACTGAAAATTCCTTGTAAAATATACCATATCCACATCAAAAAAAATACCTCTCAAAAGGGTGGAAGGCACCCTTAATGGCAGCCACCACTCACTCTTTCTCTCTCTCTATCTCTATCTATTTCCAATTAGGGCCTTCGTGGAGAAAAGGTGCATAAAATTAAAAAGGGATCATAAGTTTTGAAAAGATCAATATTTGAAAATTCAACCCACAAAAGTACATCCTAGCCTCCAAACAGTGATACATGGGAATGATCACTATCCCAATTTTTCCAACAAATTTTATCTCCTCAGTAGTTTTATCAACTATATTACAGACAAATGCAAAACAATATTAATTTCCTCCCAGCTCACAAGGCACTCTCAATAAAGCAGATAATCAGAGCTTATAACACAAAGACAGAATCCGATTTGAGACATTTTGCTGTAAATCACTGGAGGAAAAGGGAGAAGTGTGTCATTTACTTTTGGCACCTACAATGATAATGCTTAATTGAGATTTAATATGCTTAATCCATAGTTCAAGTAGTCAGCCACTCAGCCACATGAGCACTTCAGCCTATTATCTCTTTTACTTAGTTTTACTGCTTTGTTAACACTTTAATGCCCCAGACAAAAATTCATTCACAAAATGCAATCAATAAGAATAAACATATACATGTTTGCCTAATCTACACACATAACACAAGTCAGAAGAAATTATATTCGAGTTGAACATAGAATCTAAGAAAGCAGCAAATGAAAACAGAATGTGCAATAGTAATAAGTGAAATAAATGCAGCAGCACAAAGGTGAAGCAAAGGAATATAGGGCAATAGGGGCACATCTTACTCGGTCCCTCGGACGCCATTTGGAAACCAGCCCACTTTCCAAGGGTCCAGACGGCACACATTCTTCAAAGCCATCATGCCGAAGCTCACAAAAGACTATAGTCTGCGGCAGATAGGCCATACTTGTTGTTGTCGTCGTCATCGAAGTGGTGGCATTGTCACCACTAGCACTACCACTGCCACTGCCGGCATAGCTACTGCGAGCAGTCTCCAAAGAGTCCCTAATCCTATTGGGATTGCTACTCTCCGTCTCCCCATCCTCCTCGTGATTGGCATAGTCCTCCAAGTGGCTGGAAACAACGGTGGCCGACGACTGCGAGAACCTGGAAGCCATCAAATCCCCCAATGCCATCCAAAAACAAACCAGCGAAATCCAACAACTCCAGGCAGCAATTAACCTTGCCCTAATCTCACAAATTTTGGTCTGCAACTCATAACCCTAACCCCCAACCCCTGTTGGCCCGGCGGAAATGAATACGGAAAAGATCGGCGATTGATTCCCCGGTCGGGGCGCGAAGTTATACAGAGAGTGAGATGTGTGCGGGGAGGTTTTGGGATTAATCAACGAAGCCGGAGAACCAGCGGCGCTGGGAGACGGAGAGGAAGACGAGAGAGGAATCCAGTTCGAGAACCACCAGGGAAGCTTCTGGAGAAGCCGAGAAGAAGAATCCCTAGAAGACGGTGGTGGTGGTGGTAGTGAAAGATGAAGGAGAAGAGAAGAGAGAGAGAGTTGAAGCGCAGTGCGGCTGCTGAAGCCAAAGAGAGAGAGAAATGGAGGATTTTGTGAAATATAGCGAAATCAAAGAGAGAGAAACAAATTCGCACGGTTTTTTTTTTCTTTTTTCTTTTTTCTTTTTTTTTTTCCCTACTCCGTTGTTCCGTTTACACTGTAACGGCTTCTACCCCGAATTTCCGCACCGTATAAATTTTGAGTTCTATTAATTATATTCGCTGGTGTGATAAATATAGATATGAAATTTCTAAAAAAGTTATTTATATTCTATATTTGTGAGAGGAAGTAAAAAATTAAGAGTAAAATTTGAAAGTATTAAGTAATAATTTTTCGTATTTGCACGCCTTTTAAGGGCTGAAGTCAGCTGATGCAGAGGAGGCTGTAGTTTGACCACACAAAACTTGGTTTTCTGTATTACACACTCTAGCTGTACATTTTCGGGTTAATTCAAACCAAACAATCCCTTCCATTAATTACTTTCACTTACTTTGCCCTCGACAATATTCGTTACTATATTTTAAATTAATATTGAAAAATGCATATCCAATATTTAACACTTTCTTTTTGTAAATTTGAATTGCCAATACCATAATCAATGAATATCCCTCTTATTTTCTATTGAGTAAATATTTAAAATGTCCCTCGATTATAGCTAAATTCACAAATTGGTCATCGACTTTCAATTTCAACCAATTAAGTCTTTAACTTTGCAATTTTAACACGATTTGGTCCTCCATCTATTTGACCATTAGTTAACAGTGATCGATGATCTCCAGAATAACCTTCAGCTCTCGTCGGAGCACGCGGAGGCCTCCAGGATGACGTTGCACCGGTTCGGAAACACGTCGTCTTCTTCGCTATAGTACGAACTCAACTACATTGAATCCAAAGGGAGGATGAAGAAAGGCGACCGAATTTGGTAGATTGCTTTCGGCAGTGGATTAAAATGTAACAGTGCGGTCTGGAAATGCAACCGGAACCTTAAAAACCCGACGATGGACCATAAAATTACATATATATCCTCAAAAATCACAATCAACAAACGGTCAAATAGACAGAGGACCAAATTGTGTTAAAATTGCAAAGTTAAGAACTTAATTGGTTAAAATTGAAAGTCGATGACCAATTTGTGAATTTAGCTATAGTCGAGAGACCATTTTGGGTATTTAATCTTTTCTATTTTAATAAAAACGAAAATTATAATAAACGGTGTACAAACTCTCTACTTATATGATATGAAAGAACATTTTAAAATTTGTACCTAATTGATGTTGTGAGTGTATTATGTTCTTAATAAAGTTGTATTTTTCTCTTTTTATTCGTATATGTATTATTAAGTGTGGAAGGGAGTCCGTGACCATTTTTCACATAGTGATCTTAATTTCATGTTATTATGCAGGTGTACGTTGTTGTTTGTATATTGATTCACGGGTATTTAGCTTTTCCATCAGTTTTGTTCAATATGTCGTTAATGTTTTCTTTATTGTTTTGTCATGTTAGTTCTTTTGCACTGGCATAATCATTGCTCCATCACGCAACTTGTCATCTTTAATGTTTGCATTTTACTCACGATGTTTAGCTTTTTTTTTTTTTTTTTCATATGTTCTATTCACTATGTTGTTAACGTGTTCCTTATTGTACACGTTATTTTGCATTAGTCTTGTACTCATTGCTCAATCACGTTACTTGTCATCTTTGGTGTTTGTATATTAACTCACGGTGTTTGGCTTTTTTCATTGGTTTTGTTCAATATGTTGTCAATATTTTCTTTACTGTTTTGTCACGTTCTTTTGCACTACCCTAATCATTGCTCTATCAGACTACTTGTCACCTTTGTTGTTTGTATATTAACACACGGTGTTTAGCCTTTTTTCGTTTACTCAATTCACTATGTTGATCATGTTTCCTTATTAAATTGCCATGTTATTTTGCATTGGCCTTGTACTCATTGATCTGTTTTTTGTACTACTTGTCATATTTGATATTTGTATATTAACTCACGATGTTTAGTTTTTTTCATCCATTTTATTTACTATATTGATGATATATTTCGTTATTGTTTTGTCACGTATTTTGCACTACAACACTAGTTGGCCGTGTACTCTTTACTCCATTTTTCATGCACTTGCCATCTTTGGTGGTTGTATATTAACTCATGGTCTTTTATTTTTGTCATCCGTTTTGTTTACTATGTTGTGAATGTTTTCATTTTTGTTAATGTCCGTTTCTTTAATTTTGCAAGTTAAATACGTGGACTGTGATATGGTCTAAGCGACTGTATTTACTCATGCACAACATTGTGTGCACCGTTGAATATCGTCGAAATCGTGTGCACACTTCTATATTACATAATGCACACTTATACATTGCATTGTGCACACTCTAATATTGCATTGCCCTCACGTTTAGATTGGAATGCACACATACACATCATACACCACCAAGCAAAATAAGTAGTTACAAATCCAATTGATTCACATACATGACTAGTGTACACACACATCATTAAATGCAAATCACACAACAAACATATGTACAATAGTGCACACACGCCACACTTATACATTGCATTGTGCACACTCTAAAAGTACAATGTGCACACATTCACATTGAAAACAAAAATAAAAAAAAAAACCCCAATTGATCTACATACTTTACTAGTTTACAAGTGCACCCTCACATCATTAGTTAAATACAAACCATACTACAAGTGAATGCATACGCATATGTACTACAGTGCACACACGTTAAGTTTACAATGCATACACACATCACATGAAGACAAAGTGCACACTAGGTCACAACGAGGTGCACACATACGACGAAAACCCAGCCGCGAGGAACCGACAGTGCAAATGTAAACCTACAAAGACCACAATGCACAACAGTATATTGCTCGCGAAAACTATTAATCACAAATATAAACAATATTATACTCAAACAAAATATAATTAGAAATACAAAAATCAACTTGAGTCCAACGCTGAAAAAAAAAAAAAAAAAAAAAAAAACACATAAGAAGAAAAACTCAAAGCAATATGGAAAAAGAACCCCACACAAGGAAACAACAAGCTAAGAAAATCACAATTTACCATAAATTCAACTCCTAAAATCAAACATAACATCAACGTATAATCATTCCAACCTTCATAACACAAATGAAAATTACCAAATCAACCATATGTAAATAAAAATGAAAAAGAAAACCACAACTATATATATATATATATATATATATATATATATATATATATATATATATATATTGTTGCAAATCTTATTCATCTCATTAGTTGTCTTACTTAAATTTTCATTGTTGGTGATAATACCCCTACAATCTTGAAGTTCATCAAGCATATGCAATCTGGATGTTACTATAACATATTAAATTTCATGTTATCTTGTGAGTTATTTCGAATGTAATTATGCAATGCAACGTTGCCATAATAACTTCAATTTGGTTGTCTACACTCAATTGTGGCATTTTACTAAGTATCTATCATCTCTTCTTTAATACTTCAATGATCTTTCATTACTACTACAAAGAGTGGAATGTGCATGATTGAATGCATGTTGAGCATTAGTTGGTGGTTCTTGTTTAATTTGATATTAATGATACTTTATTTTTGAGCAAGACACCAAATATCTTGATCTATCTAGATATACTTATTATCCACCAACTAATATCTTCCTATTAAAAAATAAAAACAATAATTTTTTAAAATTAAATGTGATATGGTTTTATTTTACTTAAACGGATTAGGAATATGCAGGGGCGGAGCCAGGATTTGTTGGTGCGGAGGGCGCCACTCCCGATAAAATCCAACCGCCACTGCTCGTAGCCAGTAGTCCGAGTTCATTGCGGTTGCTGTCGTGAGTCGTCAATTGAGAAAACGAAAGAGAAGATTTAGTCCGAGTTCACCGCGATTGTTGTGACTTGTGAAGATGATGAATCCATCTCCAATAAACAATAATTCATAAAAGATGAATCCATCTCCATTCACCGCAATTAGGAATTTGGATGGTTTGTGTATTGTACTTACTCTGGAAACTTTCTTTTAGGGGGAGAAATATTTGGTGATGGTGATGGGGCCAAACAATGACACAATAGCCATTAAGCCGCCTATTAGCCTATTAAAATATTAATAATTTTATTTTATTTTTTTGGAGGGGGGGCAAGCCCCAATGGCCATGATGTGCAGCCTGTGATGCTCTATACTAACACAAAAAAACTTTTATTTGGGGGAGGGGGGGGGGGGGGGGGGGGGCAAGGCCTCCTCTTACCATAAGGTGGCCCGCCACTGGGAATATGATACCTTGTAGTGGTTCGGGGAAGTTCATTAATGGTATATTAATTGCACGGAATAAAATGTGTGTATCGTGTGTTGACCATTCCCACACAACTGATAAAAACGTTAAACACATATCAAAATCACATGTTGCTATGGCATTAAAGGTAGAGATTCATTTTTCTTCATGTATAACGTATATGATCAACCTCGTGAATGCATGTAATTATATAAATATCATCAATACATCCAATAAAATCTTTTGTTGTTGTTGTACCCACTGTAGGCACCTCTTTTGGATGGACATCCAATAAAGTATTGTCCATCATGAGATACTAGATAAAAGAGTTAATTCCCAAAATGGTCCTCCGACTATGACATTTTTTCAAATTGGTTAATTGACTTTTAATTTTTTCAAAGTGGTCCTCCAACTTTTGAATTTTAAGTCAAAATGGTCCTCCGTTAACTTTGACGTTAATTTGGTGTTAAAACGAAGGGTAAAACTGGAATTTTAGATTTTGTACTCCAATTTAAAGCAATATGTGATTCTTTTCAGCAGTCTGCGGACATATTTCTTCAAATTAAGTTTTTACTCTCATAAATCATGCAATCAAAATGTGGGATAATCAACTAGAAGGCCAAAAAAGTTCATCTAATACATTCATAGTTAAAGTCTAATGTTCTCCATGCGAATGCCATTTTTAACCATGAAAAGTGATTCTAAATGATAAAATTAAACTCATATGTTAATTGAGTCTGACAATTATCTAAAA